TTTTTCCGGCAAAATATATTGTTTATAAATTTCTTTTTTTTTTAATGAATACATGTTTTATTAATTAAATTTACTCTCCAAAGATATTTTCTTTAACTATCTGTACTTTTACGAATTTTTTCTTATGTATTTTTAATTATCTTTTTATGCAAAACTTTTTTCTTTTATATTCTACAATAGAATTAGAATCAAATTTAGTTAAACAGTCTGAATTAAATTTCTTTTACAAGTTTCATTATTATTATTGTGAACGTTCAAAACCTTCACCTTCACCATAATCGTTGTCATTGTTATCATTATTATCTAAAGATTATGTAAAAAACTTCATATTGTCAATAAATTTGACCAATTATAAACTATCAGTTACAAAAAGATGCAAAGAACATCCGGTTGCCAGATCAACAGACACCGTCCACGTGCTAACAATGTTTTGATATATGTAAGTATTAAATGACGTTATCCCTGTAAAAAACGGTTATTGCAATCCTTTTGAAGAAAAAGACTAAGTTTAGAGTGTCATAATAGACAGAGTATTCATTATAATGGCTTAAAAGATACTGTTAAAATTTTTCGGCGAGATTTCAATCCTTTCAACTCTATTGAAATTTTTTAAAAAACTAAGATTTGACACATATTTATTTTATAATGTATTTAATTAAAAACCAAATCTACATACATAAGTCATGAAATTGTAGTGATTCTTATATTACGACCTTTGTATATAGCTTGCTCGACGCAACGATTAAAAATAATAACAACAATATAATTGGCTAATTTTAATACTCCGAACAAACATATGATTGAGTCATGTGATGCCAAAGAATATCATCATGCTATAATGCTAATTTGTATTCCACGAAACTCACTGTTACATCTCAGTTTAAAAAGCTTGTTAATATTAAAAGCATTATTTATCTCAATTCATCTATATAGGAGAGAATGCACAATTTTTTTTTTCCAAAGGTTAATGATTAAATCAGAAGAAATTGTTATGTGATGTT